GCTAGAATATTCTGACAACGTTCATTTTGAAGTGTTATTCTACTTGTGTTGGCAGATCTGAAAAAGTGATGCTTATAATTAAAATGTATTTAATTAAAACATCCATTAAAGCAAAAAAAGTAAACATGTTTTAAATATAATTTTCTAATCCTTTTCAAACACAAAATGGTCATATTTTCAGAGAGGAAGTCCACACATGGACTTTTGAACTGTAAAGTGGAGCCCAGTGAATGCTCATAACAAAAGTGTTATTTTTTTAAATTAATTTACTCCAATGAATGTTAAAGAAAGCTAGTTGCTGTTGTGAAATGTGGATGTGATTCCAGAGGGTCTGAAAATGTCTTCTAAATCAGCCACAATGTTTGCATATAGTCCCTGTCAGAAACAAAATGAATCACATTAAGGGTTCCTTTAACAAGGGTGAGTTATACACTAAGTCTTGTCCAAATAATTTGAACAATTAAAATCAGAGAAAGCAGGATCTTGGTTAGCACCAATACAAGCATCATTTACACTGGGTTCATAGGTGCTGCATTGTTGATCCCTAATGTGCAGTATACATCAATTGTACAAAATATTGAATCTTATATAATTTGATGTAAATTTATTCCATTTCTGTAACTGCCCTTCACAATCCAATTGGGTGGTGAACAAAATCACAATAATTAATATCATAAAAACACATAAAACCACAAAAATACTCACAAATTATACATATACACAATAGAAGATTACTGTAATAATTACATAAAAAATAACAGTGAAACCAGGTAAGGGCCCCCCTAACACTTTCAGGACTCCAGGCTCGAGCACATAGCCACATCTTTAAAGCCTTACAAAAGGCTAACAGAGTCAGGGCCACCTTGAGTTCTGAATTAAGGGTATACCAAAAATGTTGAATGTTATATGCAAATTTTATCAGTGTACAGATCAATTATTTGTGTGCACCTAATAAATATAATATGTGAGCACTCAGCACTGCTAAAAAGATGGTTGGGGAATTCTAATGAATAAAGTTATTAAATAGTAAGTGCCTTTGTTGTAACTCTTTGTTAGAAGATTATATTAAATTTTACTGAACTATCACTGAAAAATGTAGTTCCGTGTAGAGATGCTTCAAAATTACTTGCCTTGCCTGCCATTAATTTTCTTTCATAATAGGTACAACAGCCTAGTCATAATGGTCCTGTCATTCATTTAATGTACCCTACTGTATTTTGCCTTGTTGGATCAAATCACGACCCATCTTAGTCCAGCCTCTTCTTCCTCTCAACCAGATTCCTCTATAATCTTCACAAGATACTCCCTTGTTATTATCGTTCCCCTACAACTCAAAGGTAAAATTGAGTCTTCTAGATCAGGGCTTTTCAACCTTTTCACCCATTGTACCACTTTTAGGATATGGCAATATCTGAGTACCACGAGTCGCCTAGCAAGGTGTCAAAAACTTGATGACCAAAAAAAAGGAAAAAAGTGATAAATACAGGTAGTCCTCGACTTACAACAGTTCACTTAGTGACTGTTTGAAGTTACAATGGCACTGAAAAAAGTGCCCCCCAAGCCACAGCCGAGCAAGACACCTGCCTGCCTACCTGGTGGCGCTCTTCCTCCTGTCCAAGGTTTTCATTGTTGTGAGCATTTCTGTTAAGGATTGGAAGAGGGGGGGGTGTTTGGTTTTTATTCCCCCCGTCTGCTGGGTGATTGCAGCAGGTTTTGGTCACTTCACATGACCCTGGGACACTGTGACCGTCATAAATATGAATCAGTTGCCAAGCATCTGAATGTAAATCACAAGACCCTGGAGATGCTGCAACATTCCAGCTGATCGGTGCTTCTTCTGAGCTCATCAGAAGCGCCAGGATCAGCGCTGAGGTCCAGCTGGAGCCTGGCACTGATCCTGGCGCTTCCTCTGAGCCCTGACAGTCCTGAAGCGCTGATCATGGTGATTCCGCTGAGCCCTGACAGCCCTGTAGCTCCAGCCATCTCTCGCTCAGGCTTGTGCGGTGCTCCAGCGGTTCAGCTCGTTCCCCTCCCCCGCTACCACTTTTCTAGGATGGTCGCGTACCACCTGCCAGATGCCAATGCACCACAGGTGGTACCCGTACCACTGGTTGAAAAGCCCTGTTCTAGCTTAATGGCCTTTGATTCAAGTCCCCCATGACTTTAATCTCCCTTTAAAACTATGCAAATTATTCATCATCACCACATTTTTGGATGAGCCCTGGTCCTTTTTTTTAGAAAGGGAAAATGTTTCTATCAGTTTTCCTATTCTATTCTATTCTATTCTATTCTATTCTATTCTACTTTACTCTACTCTACTCTACTCATTATATATTTCTTAAAATAAACACAAAAACATAAAAGGATGTGGAAATAAGATGAAATGAATTTAAAATAGAAAAAAATGACACCCAGAGATTTGTTCAAATCTGTTTCAACCTTTCTAATGTGGTGACGCTTGCTAGCTTTTGTGGAAGAGAATTTCGACTTTGTGGTAGCTGTCAAATTTTTTGTCTGTCCTGAATTTCACAGGATTTCAAATGTTTGATGTCCCTGGATTCTTATATCATGGAAGAGGCAGAAAAGAACACTCTTATCTCGTTTCTTTTCAATAGAACAGATTTGTATAAAGACATTATGACATAGGCTCGCTTATTTTCAACTTCCTAATGATTACTAACATGGAAATACTTTTTTTCTCCTTTTTTGCCACTTGCACATTATATTTTAATGTTTAGATTGAATTATACACCATAATCTCTCTTTAAAATAAGAGACCCAGGTGAATATAATGCTACAGGATCCAATCTGGGTTGGTCACTGGGGCCAGAAGTTTAGTCTTGCAAGCTTTCAGACTCATGCTGAAACCCATCCTCAGGGAGCTTTCTCCAGCAGACTGTGTGCTTTGGGCTATTCTGTGTGTAGTATTTATATGGTGCCTGTTGGGTGTGGCTTTTTAGATGTTGATTGGGGTGTTGATGGCTGGCTATTCAGATGTTGGTTGTTGTTTTCTTGTGCTCCCAAGCCCTCACCCTCTAAGTACTTGATAAGCTGGTGGTAAATCAGCACTCCTGTTGATGGATGAGGGGTCCATTTCCCAGGCTTCAATCACTTCCCTGCTGTTTTTGTGCCTGCTCATCCAACAATTTTAGTAGATGCAAAATTGAATGTATGTCTTTGTGCATTGCAATGTAAGACTACCAATGAGTTTGGGTCTCCTCATTTGATAGCTTGCTTGTGTTATTGCAATCTGGTGGTTAGCTTCTCCTCATCTGTTCTACATAGTGACAGTGGCAATCCATGCAGGGGATCTGGTAGATTACATTGGAAGTATCTCCCACCTTCAAGCGATCTTTACAATGGTAGCGTTGGAAACTGCGTTCTACTGCTTCCGAAATGCTTTTGAAGTATGGCAGAGTGTGCCATGTAGTTAGTCTTGTACCTTGTTTCTTCCTTTCTCTTCCCACCGTATTGCACAGATATCTTGTAACAAATGATTGTGGGTACACATTCTGCCTGAATTGTTCATGTAGGTACCTGCTTCCAGCTGTTTGGCTTGCTGGCTACTACAGTGGGTTCTCACTCTGCCATATAGTGTTCTGATGCAAATCTTTTTGTGTGACAGTGGGTGGTTGTTGTTGAAATTCAGAATGCATGGCGTGTTGGTGGCCTTGCAATAAATTGTGGTTTTTAGGCTTCCATCTTCTTGTCTATCTAAAAATGGTAATTGTCTAGCTGTTTCTTCCTCTATTGTAAACTGTATGTCAGGAAGTTGGAGTTCAGTATGGTATGAAAGTCTTTCAGTACATTCAGTACATTTCTTTTCATGATGACAAACATGTCATTCACGTAGCTGCACCAAAAATTAGGTGTGTAGTTCTGAAATGCGCAGTGTCCTAGTTCATGAAAGACTGTTTCTGCAGTGACTCCTAATATTGGGGATCCCATGGGTGTCCTTTTTATTTGCTCATACATTTCCCTTTTGAATGTGAAGACAGTATTGACAGTATTGGAGTAGCCTCATGAATCCTGTTTCTGATGTGCGTTGAACTGTGAGAGCCAGATTGTTGAACTAGATGTTTTGAAGTTCTTAAGAAATTTTGAACCACGCTAGAAACTAGGAGATGGAATTCTAGTCCCACCTTAAATCATAAGCATGAAAAATAATAAGAATTGTATCGATATACTAAAACTACTGTATACAATTCTATATGGATTTGCATATTTACCTATTAAGCATATTTGATATTTCCATCTCTAGAATCATATAAATTAAAAATAATGTCATTTTAAAATAAAGTCTGAAATGGCGTAAAAAATAAAATAAAATAATGATGAATCAAATTATACAGTATGTTGCTGGCTTATAGCTTCCTTACATGTTGCTTTCCTTTGATCCATTTTAATTTATTGCATTAAAAAACCTAATTGGTTGTGCATCACTTTAGATTTGATTCCAAATATTTTGTCATGAACATGGACCTGACTGCAATTCTTTGAAGCAGCTGCAGAAACCTAAGAAAAGAAATGTAAGTGCATTAAAGAGGAGCAGATGGGGCCATTGGAATCAAAATGGAGGCATCACTCAACCCAACTCAGGGAATAACAATAATAACAATAACAAAAATCCCTCCATATTTTCTGGGAGTCCCTCAGATCTGGCTTTGTCATCAGGCTGGTGATCTCTGGGGATGGGTGAGCCCTTGATGTAGATCCATTGCTGATCGAATCTCTTTTGTGTACTTTTTAAAAAATGTGATTATATTTGACATATGTATTGTTTTTATACTTTCTTTTTTGCTATATGCTGCCCAGAGTCGCTTCTTGTGGGATGGGTGGCCATATAATATTCATAAATAAATAAATTTGGGATGGTCAAAAGGTTCCAAGGGATGGGTTTCTTTTCAATGCCATTCTTGTTTGTTCTGACAAGATGCAACAATATATCTTCATTTTTTTTAATAAAAAAAATGCATGCAATAATTTTATTTTTTTTCCAGTTGATCTTAAAAAAGGCTCAAGTCCAAATGCTACAAAATCAAATCTTCCAAAACCATGTCAGTCTGGACTTCGCCCTCCTGGTTATTCACGGTTGCCATCAACTAAACTCGCCACGTTTGGTTTTGTCAGGAGCTCCAGTGTCTCCTCAATCTCAAGCAAATCAAGTGACAGAGTCCAGAGTGATCAAAGCAAGACAGCCAACCGTAAGTCAGACAACTTGATTTTCACTCCAGATATATCTGTTGCAGAGAAACAAAGAGAAATAAAGAATACTACTTACTTCCTTGTTGTGTGCTAGCAGCACATTTCTGTTTGCTGTTGAATTTTATGATGTATATAATGTTGGATACATATTTTCTAATAATAAATTACCTGTACAGGCTTTTCTTCTAAAAGTTGCTGAATGGTTACAGCTGAATGGTTACATCTCATAACCATTTTTGTATGCAAACATTCTACATATATGTATGCATGTACACATACAGATAAATGAACTACTTTCAAACAGAAATAAACATAGTAGATTTCTTGCTTCAGCAAACTATGGTCAAGGGAAAAAAAGGCTGTTGTCTCTCTCTATATATTGCAAAGAACCCTTAGCTGAACCTCACCTCAAATCTTATTTTCTGTAGTAGATGTTTATTTAAGTAAAGAATAACCACATGACATTGAGTATTCTCATTATGGGATCTATATGTTCCATGAACTCAGAGCACAAGGAAGGATTGTGGGGATTTTAAAATGTCAGCTTCTCTCTTTGAAGACCAGAGACTATTGGAACCATCTCAATTTCAAAGCAACTGTTATCACTCTTCAAGTGGTTCAAATTCAGGATGCCAGCTTGTATAAAAGCCAGAGGCTTTTGAGTGATGTAGAGTCTTAAATCTTTCAGTGTTTATGTTAATTTCAAATGAATTGCAAGAAATAAAACACAAAGTAGGTCACAATCAATCCCAAGGGCTTTCTTACACTTGCATAATAGATTTAATAATTGGCGGAATCATCCAGATCCTTTGAGCTTAGCATCTTACTAAAATACAAATAGCCAAAGTACAAATACATGCAAATGCTTTTTGGTACCATCACACTTCTCTGATGCACACAGTAGAATGTGTAGAGAAAGTTCAAGGAGTTAAGAGAGCTTACACAAATTAAATGAGATTTAAATTTATCAGGGTGGGAAACCTACCATAGTTCTTGCTGGAGTTTTGAGAAGTTGTAGTTCAATAATGTGTCAAATACTATGTATGGTTAGCTCATTCTGAAATATTAATTGCTTTTTCTAATTTAGCCTGTATTGCTCTTAATTAGAAGAGTGGCTGCTAGGTGTCAATTTTCTCAGTTTTTTTGTTTTCTAACCTGTTCCTGCCACTATTAATTAATTGTCTTAGGGAAAGAGTCAAAACTACATTATTCAGGAAAGGAAAATGGAAAAAGTTTCCAGATGGACTTTTTAAAAAAAGCATCAGAGATCCTAATCCAGAATGTGCTCCTACTGTAATCCATATCGCAGATAGGAAATTATATGAGGCATGAGAATCAGAAACATGTCCTGTAGCATTGTTCTTGTTTTTCTTTTCTCCTTTTTTCAGAATAAAGAGGTTCGGTTCAAGTACATTTTGAAAAAGCCTGAATAATCTGTGCATGAGATTTTTGAACTAGTTCAAGAAATTAGATTATCTTTACATTATTTATTTGTCTTACATTTAATTGCTGTGGGACAAGGGAGAGTTAGAATGAGATGCAGTCTCATTGCAGAAGATAATTAGAGAAGTTGGTAAATTACACACAAAGTTGGCTTAGAATATTTGCATGAATCAAAATATTACAGGTAGTCCTCAACTTACAACTGGTTGTTTAATGACTATTCAAAGTTATGACAGCCTTGGAAAAAGTTACTTATGACCTGTTGAACTACCCCCCCCCTCCGTCACATGATTGCATTTTGGGCATTTGGCAAGCAGCTCATATTTAAGACCAGTTGCAACTTCCCACAATAACCTGACTGCGTTTTGTGACATATTTTGCTGTTTTCTGCAAAAAATTCCCACTGGATAAGCTGACTTTGGACTTAAACCATGTGATTCAATGACTATGGTGATTCATTTACTCAGCGTGGTTACTAGTTGATAACTGTTGCAAAAAAAACGATCATAAAATCAAAGCCAGTAACATTGGTGATTCGACTTATGACCCCAATTATTTACAACAAAAATGGTGGACTCAATTGCAGGTAGACAAGGCCAAGGTCTACCTATACTTTTGTCTAGCTACACAAGCTAGCAAAATTGCACTCCTCCCTCCAAAAAGAAGACTGGTACATGCAGTCCTTTAATTAATGTTATATGGCCTGTTATATGGTCTTTTGGAAGTAATCAGTGTACGTATCTTGTAAGAAGAGAAAAGATATGGGCTTACTCAGTTTTAACTCTGGCTCCTCCCTATTACTTTTTCAGTAGCTATCGTAATTGGCGTGTGGTCTTCACAAGATATGTATGTGGTAATGCAGCCCTTGAGAAATAAAAAATTGCTTTCTTCACATTACTTTAACCCTTTTCTCCTCTCAACAGCTCATCTGTTTATCTGAAATGCCCCAAACACTCTATTCATCAAGATCTTGGCCACCATCTTGATTTTTTTGACTCCTTTGCAGATGACCCTGGACACCAGGTCCTCAGAGGATTTTTCCTTCAGTTTGTCTGAGTAGCACTATCGGACTAATATATAATTCCAGGAGCTTTATGGCTCACTTGCCATATCTTGGTGTGTTATGTGTAATTTTATCTAACCATCCAGCTATGCTAATTGCCCAAACTTCATTATGACAGAAAAACATAAATATATGTGTGGCTGTTCTAAAGTGGGCTAGAGTTTGCTGTTGTTATATGTTGTGATTAGCATGCAGCTTTATATTCACAGATGCGATAAATATGATAATACTGTGATAAACAAACACTTTTTAAAGAACATTTTCTATTTACTAAGAATGATAGGAAATAAAATAACTCTGAATGCAGCACAAAGTGTATTTATTGCATTTTAGTAAATTGAGTTTTCAGGGAGGTTATCATTCAGTTTGATTGCTGTTCTTCTTGCTCACATAAAAATCAACTATGAATGTAACTTGTACCAATTAGTCAGAGAAATGGCTAGTGTTAAAAATTCTTATTGGATTTGTAGTATAATGCTGCCAAAGATCTAACCAAAATATTCAAATAGGTATGGAATACAAGAATGTTACCACGTTTAAATATATATTTTATTAAATATCAGATTCTTCACAACTGGATATGGTCAGATAAATATATTTGCCCCAGTCTAAAAGGAGGACATAAGGAGTAAAATTAAATCAGTGCATTTTTCTGCTTGATGTGCAGTTCTCCAATGCAATAAAAAAAGCCTTTTGTTGGCTACGTATCCTGCTGCTTCTTTTACAGGACCATTAATCACCTATGAAAATGATGACTGTGGGGAGTGGGGAGATGGAAAAAAATGTTTTTGCTTCCTTTAAATGTCAGATGCACTTTTTATTTTTTTCCTCCTTCTTCAGAGAAAAATAAATCTTGAAAGTATGGCATGAATGGCATAATTTCCTGGCTCATTCTAAAGCAGGGGTCCTCAACCTTGGCAACTTTAAGACTGGTGGACTTCAACTCCCAGAATGCCTCAGCCAGCAAAGAAGATGTCCCTTAAAGCAGAGGTCCTCAACCTTGGCAACTTTAAGACTTGTGGACTTCAACACGCAGAATTCCTCAGCCAGCTTTGCTGGCTGAGGAATTCTGGGAGTTGAAGTCCACAAGTCTTAAAGTTGCCAAGGTTGAGGACCCCTGTTCTAGAGTATCAGAAGCTGTAGCAAAGTTTTCTTGCTTAAAATATATAAAACAAAGAAAAAGAAAACTCTCCGCAAGAACTTTTTATTTTTATGACAGGACAACATTTCTTAACTTAAAACAAGAAAATGCTATATGTGGACTTGAGTATATATAGATTAAAAATGAACATACCCCACTGAGTAGCAATTGAAGACAGAAAACAGGAAGCCCCCCTACTTCTTTTTCTCAACCATAGGCTTTTATTTCTCAGACTCTAAAGATTTCCCCACTGCTAGGGTGGTCGGGTTTCCCCCAAACCATTATTCAAACAGAAGGGTAACAGGCAGAGATTCAAGAACACAGCTCTTGGATAAGGTGCTTTCTTAAAGATATTAGAAAAGCTATTACAATGTAGAGATAGCAACAGCCAACTATAAGCGGATGGATGGATGGATGGATGGATGGATGGATGGAAGAGATGGGATGGGATGGGATGGGATGGGATGAATTCTGGAAGCTGAACTCTTGAAATTCAAGCCTTATGCGTCTTCTTCCCACCTGTGCACTGTCATGGCGTGAGAGCAGGTTGTTTATCGATGGGAAGGATCACTAACATCTGTGCATGATTATTGTAACAGATTTGTTTGGTCTCAAGTTCTTTGTACTTTATCTTGGTCCTTCTAGTCTTCCTGTGACTGCAAAACCTAGCATCACAAGATCATGGGCTTGGAAGGGACTTTGAAGATCTTTTAGTCCAACCTCGTGTCTAGTGCAGGAATCCTGCTACCATTTTAAACATTCTGAAGTGCAGAGGAACAGTTTGAGCCAGCTTCTTTACTCCACCAAATCAACATCTTTAGAGTACACCTAGAAACCTAATTGGAGGGGAGGAATGCAGTTTGGAATGTTAATGCTGTCAGTTTCCATATTTGTTCAGTCCATCTACTTGTAAAATGAAAGCATATACTGGTAATCCTTGACTTGCAACCACAATTGGGACCAGATTTTCCATCACTAAGTGGTGCAGTCATAAAGCAAGAGGCTATGCAACCACATTACTTTACGATTGCATATAAAGCAACAAAAATTTTGGGCTCAATTGTAACTTGAAGACTACGTGTGGCTTATCTGGCTTTACATGAAATTAATGAATCCTGAGAAAAACACCTGGCAAAAGAATTATGAAACAGAGCAGCCACTCTCTCATTTGAGAATAACATATTGCTTGCTTATGGATATGTTTGCTTCATATAACAATGAACTGTAGCAACAGTTGTGATATATTAATCACTCACCAGGCCTAAGCAGATATTGGATCTCTTCTGCTGAACACAATCTGTGCTGTTTGGTTTATTACATTGGAGATGCCTTTGGTGGGAGAATCAATATAA